CAGTGCGCGCAATAAAGATAGGCCACCCTGGCACGTAAATCTATCACGTGCTGTATACATCGTGACGTATCGCAACATAGTCCAATCGAAAGCACTTGTCTCGGTCAGCCCAAACACAACATTTGGGATCAATCGGGCGAAGTGTTTTTGAGAAACGCCCGAAAAACCGCCAAATTCGATTTTTTGGTGCGAAATAAAGATAGGCCACTTTTCGATTTTTTGGCATTTTCGAGCCTCTCCGTCGCCGTTGACTCTTCAATTTGCTTCCCAGCCTGGGTAAGCATCATCTAAGCCTCTCTCAATCATTTCCGGCGCTATTGTTCAACATCCGTGTCCGATACACGAGGGGATGTGGCACGAGGCTCATCGAACTTTAAAGCGCCAGAATTCTCGCGTTTCACACCGCTGGATGGCATCCAGGGACAGTTGGGAAGGAGTTCCGTCGATTCCTAATGCTTGCGCGCAACTCTCTCTCCTAGGGGGAAGGCTACGGTGCCGCCAAATCACCCGGATGGCCTCCAAAAATCGTACGAAACCCGTTTCGAGGGCTCTTTCGTGAGATTGCGAGGGACCGCATGCACTGCAGCCAAGATATCACTTCACACAACCTTCGCGCAGACCCCACAACTCGTAGAGCTGCTGCAGGGAGCCCGAAGGGCCGAAGACAGCAGCGACTTGGCTACCCAGCGCCCACCCGACGAGTACAGCCGAGCCCGGCTCCATTTTGCCTTCTAGACTGTGTCGTATCATTTCCCACAACAAAATTATGGAAAACCGTGCTACTGGCATCTCCCGCACCTTGAGGTGACGTGTTTTCCGTGCCGCCAATGTGGTGGTGGCACGGCCATGGGTCTGCAGCACGATTTCCCCCCAAAAAAACTTCGAACTGGAGGCCTGGCGAGTGGCCAAGACAGCTACATGTGCACTGTCACAATCTCCAGCCACCAGCCACACCCTGGGCTCGAGTTTCATGCCAAAACTTCATATTCCAGCGCGATACACATCAGTCACAATTTCGTGGCGTCGCTTGCCGGTCCAATGGATCGATATTTTGGACTAGCCAACGCGCTCGCGCGGTCGGTCATACACGTATAGCCTTTGGTCCATCTTTATACTGCGCGTCAACGCCAACGGGACCCAGTTTCGGGACGAAAAGGGCCGCTTTGCTGCGTCACTCCTTTGCTGGTGTAAAATGGCTAGATAAACGACGAAAAGCTCGTTGCGAGTAGGCCTGCATGGTGCCTTGACGTTATAGCATGAAAGGGTACAAAACCCTTGCATTGGGATTGCCTCACGGGTCTCCAAACACCACAAAATATC